TTTGAGGTGAAGAAAGGATAAGGGGCATAACCATAAAATTCAAGGGGCACAATCATAAGACTTCCTGTTTTAAGTTCAGATAGACAGGTATCCTTTTCCAACATCCCCAACTTTAACCTCTCAGTCCCGGCACTTAGTAGGCCGGTATGGTCTTCTTATAACTGCTTGACTGATGCTGTCCTTCAAGTCCCTTTTTCCTTTGTCTTCATCTCTTCTTCCAATCGATGATCGTGCTTATGTGAATGACTGTGTGTGAGTATATTTAGTTATAATTGTGGTTTTCATCCAGATTGTTATCTTGGCTACCCCGATAACATTACGACTTTGGCAAGTATTGTAAAATCCCTAATCTCATTTGTAAAAAGAAGACAAAAAATAAAATTGATAAGGATCCTGTGAATATGAAATATTAACTATATGTTAATAATAAATAAGCAATGAATACATAGATTCTAGTAAGTTTATAGCATATAGTAGATGGTCAATTAATGATAACTATTTTTCACAGTCTATGTATTCATTTATGTCAAGTCTGTTAAATCTTAAATGTCTGATAATCACTATTGTTTCTAAGGTTATCATATTTTTATGTCTCTTTTTGATTTCTTGTGACTGATTTATTGATTTATTATAAAAGATCTGTTTTTCTCCTTTCTAAAGAATTGGAGGTACATTTCTTTGCCTGCTTTCTCCATTCTCATACACACATTTGCACACACTGTCACACATGCATACACAAAAACAGACTTTACAGACTGACATTAACAACAACCTTTAGAGATACTAAATCCTAAAGAACTTTGGTGTTCTGTATACATTAAATTCTTTTTAAATGAGACCCTAAGATAAGTGTACTAAAATCCGATACATTTTTGTGAGGAAACATTGATGCTTTGATGTTTTAAAAATTATCTAAATATAAAATAATAGCTTTTTAGCATTTTATTCCTCCATAGCTCTAATTCTGTTTGTTTAGTCTGTCTACTGAAAAATCCAATACTGACTTCAGGTATAATAAAAAGTATCCTTCAGGTTTTCTCTGGTGATTAAATGAGCTAATCTAAAGCAAACAAAAAACTAGTATGGCCCCAAAACTCTGCAGGTGCTCAAGAAATATCAGTATTTCTCTTCTCCTTTCCTCAGTCCTGGTACTTGAGATGGCATGGACAATGGAGATAGATTTTGGGGACCAAATCCAGATAATTATTTTCAAGTCCTGACTTTGTAAACGATTTCACAGTGGATGGCAACAGGCCTCTTGCCCCTTGAAGTCTTCATTTCTTCATTATGACAGTTTGGGTGTGATACAAGATGATCCAAAGGCTCTCATAATTTTAAGGTCTTTTAATAAGCATCCTGGGAATCAACCTGCTTTCACAGCCCTCAGAGCTCTCAGAGCTAATTGCCTATCCCATCTTCTCAAATTCTTTTCTGGACAATGGAAAATTAGCAAGTCATTGTTATAGTTCTTGTTTTATAATCATTTACCATGGTGATACAAAGTTGCATAGTCAACTGGATTTATAGACATTTGTGTTCCAAGTTTCAAAAATGAGGAATTTGGAATTTGAGCAAACTAAATAATTTTATTAAGGATAGTCACTTAGACAGGGAAGTGGTTGTTTTACTCAAGTCTGGACAGACTGACAAACTGTCTGAGTTTGCAGCTACAGAGAGGTTGTCCCCAGTGCAGGATCTTCATTGCTAAAACCAGTACAGTTCCAGGCAAACCAGGATTGACACTGTGTTCTCTGACTATGATTGCTGAAGTTTTGGTGGTTTTATTTATTGTTTCTTGAAATCTACTTGGGTTGTGACACAATTGGTGGAAAGATCACTAACTTGGGAATCAGTGAGAGTCAAAGGGTCTGAGATTCAGTCCAACCGTTTTTGACCAACTGAATGGATTCTTTCACGAAGGACAACAGAGTTATAACTCATTGTTTTCTGATGTCTGTAAGCGGGGGAAACACTAGTGCACAGAGGAGCCATCATTCAAGATTTTTCATATCCCCTGCTGCTCCAGCCATCTCTTTGAGCCCCAGGACTTACCAGGCCCAGGGGACACTGAAGAGGCAGTTTCATCGCTCAGGGCAGGGAGGTTGGCTGGGAGGTTGTGTACGGAGGAGTGCTCAGAGTTCCCCCTTAGGAGACACTTCACTTGTCCTCTTCTCACTAGAGCTGCCCTGAGGAGGTAAGTTGGGACTTCAGCCCTTCCCTCACAGAGGTCTGCAGGAACCTCGTTCATGGCTTCAGAATCCTAAAGCGATCATAATACACATAACTAAAGAAAACGGTTTATGATCTAATTTTAGAGCTTTTCTGTGTACTCCACTTCTGCCCTACACCAATAATCCTCAACCATACCCCTGATGCCTGAAATCCCAAAGCTTTTGTTTGGTGTGAATGCTTCGGTGTTTTTAACTACACTCCGGTATCTCACTGGGAAGTGGATACATGCCCAACACAGAAGGAGAGAGCCTTTGTTTGGGAAACTGGGAGAGTCAGGCAGTATGGAAAGCAGACCTGGGAACCTCGGCTCCAGATGTCTCTCTTCATCACCTCTTTCTTGGTTGCTATTTATTTGGTACATATCTGGCACAACAGTGTGGAATATCAATTCTATGTTTTACTGTGTATTTTTTCTATACTACAGCTGTCAACATAAGGTGTAATTAAGTAAACTAGATCCATAGCTGATGTGTACTAAAGCTGAGATAAAAGTTAGCTGTTTTATATGTTAGGAGAGTTATTTAACTTTTCTAAATTTATGTTACACTTCACAACTGGGTCATAATACATTCTTCCTAAGATAGTTTATCTATTTAATCAATATATACTGGTTAGAATTAGAACTGGTAATCTGAATCCTTATCCAGGACCCTATGCCCAGCAACTTGGATAAGCATTGAGACAACTATAGGATCTTATAATTCTTTGGGAACAAAGATACTAACCAAATGACCAAACAGATACATAATAATTCACTAGAATTCTGAAGTGTGGTAAGAGTCATGCAGAAAAGTATGTGTGAGGATACATAATAAGGACTTACAATGATATGTAGAGAAGAGTAATGACTGGTTAGTATAACAGGAAGGCAACAAGTCCTCAGGTAGTTCATATGCTGCCTCCTGCCTAGGCAAGACTGAATTCTTACTCTAATCCTTATTTTAAGAGTGAAGGGAAGCCACTGAGAGCTTTTCCATAGAATTGTAACATCATTATGTTGATATTATCGACAGATGATCTGACTTCTTTGTAGAAAATGGATTAGAGAGGATCATGACATGGAGCTGGGTGATCAGCAAGAAAGGGTCTGTGAACATCCTGATTGAAAATGCTGAGGGACAGAACAGTGCGATAGACTGGATAGTGGATTAACTGGAAGTGAGAGAGACAGGAGTGCCAGTGTTAAGCATATTTTGGAAAGGTAGTAATATAATTAGATCTGGAAATGGGAGTGGGTGAAAAATTCTTCCTAGGTTTTTCTGGCTTTAGTGCGTGGATAAATGCTGACGGACTTTTACATGAGGAAAATATTGCAGAGGATCAAGTACAATGATTAACAAAAGTTCAGATTGGCACATATTTATGTTGTGCTAATGAGCCATTACAGTTGATACTCCAGTAGGGAGTTGGATGCTTGACTCTACAGCTAGAAGAGACACCTGAGCTAGAGACATGAATTTGGGATAATTGACATACAGAGAAGAGGTAAGAAGGACACTATGAGTAGAAAATAATTTTGAACTTAGTGTGACAGAGAGCAGAGAAGTGAGTGTTTACTGGAAGAATATGTGGGGGCAATAAACCGATTTTTGTTGTAGTTGTTATTTATTTTCTTTGTCTGTACATCCTGAAACTGATTCTCAATAATACAGAAGTTGGTTTTGGATGGGACATAATCTAAACCTCTGATTCTCAAACTCGACTTTGCATTGGACTTTCCTGGGTAGTGTTTTTTGTTTTTTTATGTATTGATTCTTTTATTTATTTATTTATTTTTATTAGTTGGAGGCTAATTACTTTACAATATCGTAGTGGTTTTTGTCATATATTGACATGAATCAGCCTTCCAACTGCTACTGCTAGAGATTTGGATTGAATTGGTATTATTGGGGTCCAGACAAAGGAATTTTTTTAAAGCTCCTTTGGTGAATCTAGCATCTAGATTTGAGAATCTAGAATTTGAATCTAGAATCTAGTTTGAGAATCGTTAATCTAAACAGAGGAAAACACATAAATATGCAAGATAGAAAAACTCAGAGCAATCAGGAATAGAGGAGCATGAGACTCTGGATCCTTGGTGAATAAGAGAGGAGCTCAAGTGACAAAGAGGATGGGGGCCTGGAGTGAGATCTTCCAGTGTAGGCAGGAGAAAAGACACAGCTCAGAGTACAGATGAAAGTGTCATCCCTGCACACATGCAGATTCATGAGTAAGTGGAGAGCACTGAGATAAGGTCTTGGGGAGGCCATACTCTACTTCACTTCTCGAAGAATGTAGTGGCTAAAACTGGTAGAGAGTAAGGGCTAAATCATTTTCTGCTACTGGGGAAAGATTTTGATATTTCTGCAAAGCATACAGAAACAGGATGAATGAGATACAGTCTTCAAAACAGACTCAAAGGATTTTTGTGGGGAAGGAAGTGGAGCCCATGACCCAACTGTAGAAATGATCAGATGGCAGAAGGCCTGAGATGTGATCAATGATCCCTAGCTTGTTTCCTCCCAATCTTTCATGATCTTTGGTGTGCAATCTAAGTAGCCTTTTCCCTTCCATCCTGGACAGTGACCATTCTTTCCATTGTCTGACCTCACTTTACTCTGATTGTGTTTCTCCAAAAGATACTCAGGGGCCCCATGGGAAGTTTTGAAAACTAACATCACGAGCATGACCAGCTTCACCCTAACAGGCTTCCCAGAGATGGGGGGACTGGAGCATTGGTTAGCGGCCCTCCTCTTGCTGCTGTATGCTGTCTCCATCCTGGGCAACAGCCTCATTCTCTTCATCATAAAGGAGGAGCAGAGCTTGCACCAGCCAATGTACTACTTCCTGTCTCTGCTGTCTGTCAATGACCTGGGTGTGTCTTTTTCTACCTTGCCCACGATACTGGCTACCTTGTGCTTTCCCGCACCAGAGACTGCCTTTGATGCCTGCCTGATTCAGATGTTCTTCATCCACTTTTTCTCCTGGACAGAGTCTGGAATCTTGCTGGCCATGAGTTTTGACCGCTATGTGGCTATCTGTAATCCTTTGCATTATTCAACAGTGCTCAGTGATACCCGTGTGGCTCACACGGGCATATCTATCATCATCCGCAGCTTCTGCATGGTCTTCCCACTGCCTTTCCTTCTGAAGAGGTTGTCTTTCTGTAAAGACAACATACTGACCCACTCCTACTGCTTGCACCCAGACCTGATCCGCCTGCCCTGCGGAGATACCACCATCAACAGCATGTATGGCTTGTTCATTGTCATCTCTGCCTTTGGTGGAGACTCAGTGCTCATCCTCGTTTCCTATGTGCTCATATTGCACTCTGTGCTGGCCATCGCCTCCCGGGAAGAGAGACTTAAGTCACTCAACACCTGTGTGTCACACATCTGTGCTGTGCTCATTTTCTACGTGCCCATGGTTAGCGTGTCCATGGTCTATCGATTTGGGAAGCATGCCCCTGAGTATGTGCACAAGGTCATGTCCCTAGTATATCTCTTTGTGCCTCCAATGCTCAATCCAATAATCTATTCCATTAAGACTAAGGAGATTCGTAGGAGGCTACATAAGATATTAAAATCTAAGCACTGATCAGAGAGACACCTTCTAAAAACCCAGGTACCCCAAGAGTTTGTTGTTATTGCTGATGTTTGGATTTACAGGCTGGTCAGTTGAACTGTGTCATCTCCTTCTATACATGGGCCTCTGGTTGGGGACCTGTTACTTGCTGTAGGGTATAGCCTGGAAAACATCAAGCTACTTTGTAATTAACCAAATTACAGGTTGCCAAAATGACTTCTCTCACACTCAGTAAGGAAGAGGGTTTTAAACTAGACACTTCTATTTATCCAAGTATATTATTATTGACTAAATTTTTAAGTAAATCTCAAAAGCACAAAGCCTAATGCATTCATATGAAACCTTATAACTGGGGGTTATGTTACTCAAGATCGTAAGTATCATCCAATGCTTTTTATAGGAATAATAGTTCTTAGCATCTTTTAGCTTTAAAAATTAAAGGTACACAATTCCTGTGACCAATTTTACACTTCTGAAATAAGTAAGAGTATTCGTGAGACTGATCAGATGGAACATATATGGCTATCACTGTGACACTGCAATATAAACCATGTAAGACCAGTAATTCCAAAGTTTGAAAGCAGGAGAACAGATTTGTGGGGAAAAAAAATCATATGTTGCCCTCTATTGGGCATTGCTGAGGGAAGGATCAACTCTCTTCTAGGGAGCTAGTTAGAATGGGAGGGAAATAGATAGTAGTGATTGATGGTAGGGGGAATCTACTTCAAGAGCATAAATAGTTGTGCTTACCATCTGCTGCAATATGGATTTTAGTGGCCTATATTCATCACCCAAGCTCAGAAACATCTGTACATGTTAGAGCAACAGGGGGATTTCCCGGTGGCTCAGAGATAAAGAATCTACATGCCAAGGCCTGCCAATGCAGGAGATGCAAGTTTCCTCCCTGAGTCAGGAAGTTCCCCGGAGAAGAAAATGGCAAATTACCCCAGTATTGTTGCCTGGGAAATCCCATGGGCAGAGGAGCCTGGTAGGCTACAGTCCATGGGATTGCCATGTTGGCAATCTTAGCAACTAAACAACAACAAGAGCAGAGGAGAGGTAGCTGAAGAATATTAGGAAATTCAGAGCGTAATTCCTAGAGAGTAACAATCATGAAGGCAGAGGGATCCTGTGCAAATTTATGCAGAGCATGTACAAAGTCAAAGCAGCTTGCAAACTCTTGGCATGAAAGTGAAGTCGCTCAGTCATGTCCGACTCTTTTTGAGCCAGTGGACTGTAGCCTACCACACTCCTCCATCCATGGGATTTTCCAGACAAGAGTACTGGAGTGGGTTGCCATTTCCTTCTCCAGAGGATCTTCCAGACCCAGGGAGCGAACCCAGGTCTCCTACATTGTAGGCAGACACTTTACCCTCTGAGCCACCAGGGAATGACTCTTGGCAGAGGTAAGTAAATTGGTGTGAGCTTTCCTTCACTGGGCGGTGGACAGACTACAGCATAGTTCAATCCTTACAGATGATTTGAGATGCAGATAGTAGTGAAAAACATTACACATTCATACATACACACACATATATATGTATACATGTATATGTGTGTGTGTGTTAAGTTGCTTTAGTCATGTCTAACTCTTTGCATGCCCATGGTCTGTAGTCCACCAGGCTTCTTTGTCCAGGAGATTCTCAAGGCAAGACTACTGAAGCGGTTGTCATTTCCTTATCCAGGGGATCTTCCCAACCCAGGGATCAAACCAATGTCTCTTACACCTCCTGCATTGGCAACTTCTTTACTTCTATCGCCATCTGGTGCTAGTATATATATGTATATATATTTAAATAAGCATTATTTTCCATGTTTTTTTCTCATAGGGTCATAAAATACTTTTTCTAAAATAAAATCAGAGAGGATGAGTGACATGATAATGCCCTAAACACAGAAGCAATATAGAATTTAGTCTCTCCCAAACACCTCCTGGCTGTCAAATCAAACAGACATTCAGTTCAGCTCAGTTGCTCAGTCGTGTCTGACTCTTTGCAACCCCATGAATTGCAGCACGCCAGGCCTCCCTGTCCATCACCAACACCCAGAGTTTACTGAAACTCATGTCCATTGAGTTGGTGATGCCATCCAGCCATCTCATCCTCTGTTGTCCCCTTCTCCTCCTGCCCCCAATCCCTCCCAGCATCAGGGTCTTTTCCAATGAATCAACACTTCACATAAGGTGGCCAGAGTATTGGAGTTTCAGCTTCAGCATCAGTTCTTCCAATGAACACCCAGGACTGATCTCCTTTAGGATGGACTGGTTGGATCTCCTTGCAGTCCAAGGGACTCTCAAGAGTCTTCTCCAACACCACAGTTCAAAAGCATCAAGTTTTGGCATTCAGCTTTCTTTACAGTCCAACTCTCACTTCCATACATGACCACTGGAAAAACCATAGCCTTGACTAGATGGACCTTTATAGGAAAAAGAAAGCAACAAAACAGAGTAAAACTGGAGTTAATATGTTCAACATGTTAGGTGTCAGGGAAATCTCGAGTATCCTTGAATAAGATTAGGGTAGCCAAACCACAAGATTAGAAAATGTGTGGTGGGGGTCGGTGCAGTGAAGGTGACTAACAAACCTTATTCCAGTATGGAATGAAAACCCCTCTCAAACCACAAACACACCACTGTAGGCTAGGACAATACTGAAACCTTGGCAGGTGGCTTTGACATTGCTAGTAAAATGAGATAGTCCTGTCAAGGTCCAAGTACTTGTGCACTTGACAGGATCGAGCAATACCGCAGTGCTTGCTATGTCGCTCTAGTCGTGTCTGACTCTTTGCGACCCCATGGCCTCTAACTCACCAGGCTTCTCTGTCTGTGGGATTCTCCAGGCAAGAATACTGGAGTGGGTTGCCATCTCCTCCTTCAGGAGATCTTCCCGACCCAGGGATTGAATCTGAGCCTCATTATGTCTCCTGCACTGGCAGGCTGGTTCTTAACCACTAGTGCTACCTGGGAAGCCAAACTAAACCAAAACCTAACCAGCCAGAAAGTCACATTAACGTGACTTCCCGGTTCCGTTAGACCAGTGACCTTTCTCTAAAGCACCTTATTAACAGTTTCCTTTCACAGGCAGAACACCCCAAACTGGAGCCAAAACCCCCTAGATGGGAGTTGAAGCTCCCCAGATTGGACAAGGTCAAAAAAGGCCCTGGTGGGACCCTGATGCCAACCTGTTCTGGAGAAAAGTTTATTTGAGCATTTAATTCACAAAGGAGAGTAGTATCTATCAGAGAGCCAATCATCTTGTTCCCCACTATCACAGTTACTGGAGCTCCTGTAGCACAGTGGTCTACAGCATTTAAGAATCTTAGAAACGTTCAGCAAAGAAGTCTTTCCAAAATGATATTACCTTAGCATGATGGGAACCACACACTCACAGAAAGATCATTGAGTAAGGGACAAAGAAGGTTGTGATAACAGGTCGAAAGGCTATAAAGAAAGCATATGTAAGAAAGAACTGCTACAGTTACACAAACCTTCAAAGCTAAGTTCCCCCGGGAAGGAAGGTCTGTTGAACTCTGGGGCTGGAACAGAGGGAGGGAGTCAAATGTCCTCTGGAAACAGACTTAGCTCTGAGTCACAGAAGTGGCCTCAAAGAGAGATGCTACTCTGAACTCTCCACATAACTAGAGGAAGTCTTAGAGAAATGGAGCTGGAAAAGCTACCCTGTGCTCTCCTCTCAATCCAGAGAATCCTTTTCCCAGTCGGACTGGAGAATCATCCTTCTTTGAATGGGTATAAGCTAACTCTATACACAGTTCAGTTCAGTTGCTCAATCGTGTCTGACTCTTTGCTATCCCATGGACTACAGCGCGCCAGGATTCCCTGTCCATTACCAACTCCTGGAGCTTGCTCAAACTAGTGTCCAGTGAGTCGGTGATGCCATCTTATCCTCTGTCACCCTCTTCTCCTCCCACCTTTAATCTTTCCCAGCATCAGGGTCTTTTCCAATGAGTTAACTCTTCCCATCAGGTGGCCAAAGTATAGGAGTTTCAGCTTCAGCTTCAGTCCTTCCGATGAACAGTCCAGACTGATTTTCTTTAGGATTGACTCATTTGATCTCTTTGCAGCCCTAGGGACTCTCAAGAATTTTCTCCAACATCACAGTTCAAAAGCCTCAATTCTTCAGCACTCAGACTTCTTTATGGTCCAGCTCTCACATCCATACATGACTACTGGAAAAACCAAAGCTTTGACTATACAGACCTTTTTTGGCAACTCCATACACAGGTCTGAGCAAAAGAAAAGGAAAAACAAAACAAGGGCAAAGATTAACCCATGGCCCTGAGCTTCTCATACTTACAATGGAAATCTTCCTTCTTTAAAAAATAATATTTATATTCGAATGTTGGTTTTTTTTTTTTTTTTTTTGACAGTATTCAGAAAACTAAGATCATGGCAAATGATCCCATCACTTCATGGCAAATAGATAGGGAGACAATGAATTCAGTGACAGATTTTATTTTCTTGGACTCCAAAAATACTGCAGATGGAGACTGCAGCCATGAAATTAAAAGATGCTTGCTCTTTGGAAAAAAAGCTATGATAAACCTAGACAGTATATTATAAAGCAGAAACATTTCTTTGGCAACAAAGGTCTGTAGAGTCAAAGCTATGGTTTTTCCAGTAGTCATATATGGATGTGAGAGTTGGACCATAAAGAAGGCTGAGTTTGAAGAATTGATGTTTTTTACTGTGGTTTTGGAGAAGACTCTTGAGATTCTCATGGACTGCAAGGAGATCCAACCAGTCCATTCTAAAGGAAATCAGTCCTGAATATTCATTGAAAGCACGGATGCTGAAGCTGAAGCTCCAATATTTTGGCCACCTGATGCAAAGAACTGGCTCCTTGGAAAAGACCCTGATTCTGGGAAAAATGGAAGGTGGGAGGAGAAGGGGATGACAGAGGATGAGATGGCTGGATGGAATCACCAACTCAATAGACACTAGTTTGAGCAAGCTCTGGGAGTTGGTAATGGACAGGGAAGCCTGGTATGCTACA